TCCCTGGGGAAGGGGTCGGGACTTCCGGAGAGCCCGTGCTGAAAGCAGATCAGGACCCACGCCCAGGAACGCCCCCCGAATTGAGGGGCAACGGTAGGGGGGCGACTGGCTCCCGGGGGGGAACAGCGACCTGAACATTCATCGCCGATAAGTCGGCGCGATGCCATCGATTGCGAATCCGCATGTTCCTGGGCGAGGTGGGCTATCAGGCCCCCCTCGCCTCTTCCTCCTGTCCCTTTTTGACGCCTCCTCCTCCTCCTTCTCCTCCTCCTCGACCTCCTACCTCCTTTCTTCCCTCCCTCCCTCCCTCCCCCTCCCTCCCTGCCCTCCCTCCCTCCGTCCCTCTCCCTCCCTCATCCGCATCCTCCTCCTCTTCCTCCTCCTCTTCCTCCTCCTCCTCCTCCTCCTCCTCCTCCTCCTCCTCCTCCCCTTCCTCCTCCTCGATGCGTCCCCTCTGAGCCGATTCCCCCCTGGTGTTGCTCCTGACCTGCGGCTGCTCACTCCCCCGGACCCAGAATGTCCAAGGCTCTGAAAACCATGTTAGCCAGCCTGGACCCCCAGCAGTGTCATTTCTGGTGGTACAGAATATGTTGTGCAGCCTATGTGGTGTAACCCATGCGGTGCAACTATATATATGCTGTGCAATGTCTATGTGGGGCAACCGATGTGTGGCAACATGTCGGTGGTGCAGTCTCCGTTGTGCAACACACGTTGTGCCAACAATGTGGTGCAATCTATGTGGTGCGGATCACCTATGCTCCCAACGAATTGCCGACTCCACGGCTGGCGCAATCATGCTTACCACCCACCCGCAATCCACCAGCCCTCTGGGCGTAGGTGGTCTAGGGCGGCTCCTCTTCCAACCCCCTTCTTCCCCTTCGGGGAGGTTTTTTTTTCATTGTTCCTCATTAGTGTACACCCCCTCCCCCAGGCGACCGGGGGGCAACCAAACACCATGCCAACACCATGCCGACACGCCCCCCACCATCCCTGTCAAAAAACAATACAAACCTCACTCCGCCTCCGAATTTGGAGCATGCGCGGCCAACCTGATGCGGCCCCTCTCCCACCATCCCTGTCCAAAAACAATGCACAATACAATTTGGGGTATAGTCTTGAGTCATGCTCGTGAGACTCGCGAGCACTTTGTATTGTTTTTGACAGGCACGGCGGGGGTGTCAGCGTATTCCCTGCTGCGCGCAGGGCTACCATCGCTGACAAAAAACAATACAACATGCACCTCGTGGCTTAATCTGGATCATGCGTGGCGATCCCACGATCACTGTCAAGTGGCTTTTGGCAGGGACGGCGGGGGTGGTGGCGCGTGGCCTGCTGTGCGCAGGCCCACCAGACACAATGATGGGCATCGGTTTTCGACAAGGATGGTGGGGGCCGAAATGTTTCCAGATGTGTGCTGTCGCGTGCGCTGGCGCACCTGACGCACTCTGCGCGTGCCCCGAACGCGGCGCACCTGTCGTGACTGGAGTGTGCGGCACACCTGGCGTACTCGGAGCACGTGGCGCATCTGACGCACCAGGCGTGCCTGGCACGCTCGGGCCCCAGGGATGCCTGGCGCGCGTGGCGCCCCTGGCACGCGTGGCGCACCTCGCCCAGGCGTCGCGCACCTGGGGTCGGCTTTGATTCCCAGTAGCTGTCCATCCAAACACGACCGCTGAACATGCTCAGGCTCGGGCGTTACTTATGTGCAGGGAGGGCGAGTGGGAGTGAGCTGCACGGCTTGCGGGCGGGTGGATAGCTTGACCCCTCCCTCTACCCCCTCCCCTGGACCTGGACGGGGCCGGTCGCGGGTAGTTCGAGCGCCCAAAACGGCCTCGGCGAGGAAGCCAAAATCATGTGGCCCCTTTTTGGCCTCTGGGGGGGAGCGCGATTTGAAGCTCCCCTCTTCTTCGATCGCTTTCCTCCAAGATGGCCCCAAGAGACGCCCAGGAGGCCCCAAGAGGTCCCAAGATGGCCCCAAGAGGCCCCCAAGAGGCCCACAAGAGGCCCCCAGGATGCCCCCCAAAGGACCCCAAGCGGCCCCAAGAGACCACCCCGAGGCACCCAAGATGCCCAAGAGCCCCCCAGGACCGCCAAGAGACCCCCTAGACGTCCCGAAAGGCCACCAAAAAGCGCTCAAGAGATACCCCAAGAGGCTTTGAGAGGCATCCAAGAGACCTCTGGCCCTTTTGCTTGCCCTCCTCCTCCTGCTCCTCCTTCCTCCTCTTCCTTCTCTTCCTCCTCCTCCTCCTCGTCCTCCTCGTCCTCCTCCTCCTCCTCCTCCTCCTCCTCCTCCTCTCCTCCTCCTCCTTTTCCTCCTCCTCTTCCTCCTCCTCCTATTAATCCTCCTTCTCCCCGCTCCCTCATCCATCCAGCCAGCCTCTTCCTTTTTCTCCTCCCTCCTTCGCACGTTTCGGCGGCAGTCCCCCTGTTTGCTCCGGCGCTTCGCTGATCACTTCAACTCGCCTTGACATCGTTTCTGGATGGGCTGGTGGGGATACGGCCCCACACCCTCGACACCCCCCTACACGCCCCACACGGATCGTGCCCCCCCCCCCCCCACACCCTCCAGCACTTGCGCAAAGCACTTGCGCAAAGGCCTTCGAATTATTTCGAACTGCGGCGCAGGCCTTTTGGGCCGAATGTAGTGGAAAACAAAAACATGTATTGTATGGCTTTTGTAAATAAAACAAAAACGCAAGAGCGTGATCGCAACTTTTTGATAAAACGCGATGTTGCAAAACCGTTGCTCTGCGCATGTGTTCGGGACACTGGATTTTGAAACCCAATAAAAAACCGAGTGTTTGTTTTGAAGGATTTCGGCATGCGCGCGCGGCGACGCGCGCGCGCACTGCACCCCGTTGTTTTGAAACCGATGCTTGCGACATCGCGCGCGCGCCAGGGCGTTCAAGCGATTTCGGCATGCGCACGCGAAAGGCCCGTTCGGTAGCATGTTATGAGGCTTTCGAGACGCCGATGGCTCTCTTTGGGTTCGCAAGAGCGCAAGCGCAGCTTGTTTGATAACTGATGTTGCAAAACCATGTGTTTGATCTGTTCTTGGGACATTCGACCTTGCAATCTTTACGAAGTCTACAACCGTTGTTTCAAGGGTTGCCGCATGTGCGCGCAAGGACGCGCGCGCGCACTCGATCTCATTTTTTGCAAGGGGCTCTTGAAAAATCATTGTTTGATAAAACGAATGCGCTCGTGAAACCTGCTGCAAATGATGACAGCGGGCGACGCCGGCCTGGATGGAATGGTACGAACTCATATTTCGGATGGGCGACGGGGCAAACCTGCAAATTGCAATTCGAAACAGCGTCCCGTGAATTCTGGGGGGGTTCAGATCATATTATGATATCCTTGAAATAATAAAAGGAGATACTCTATGTGGTGCACACTACGTGACGCAATATAGATGCCATCTATGCGGAGCAGTGGAGCAATTCATGGCGCAAAACAGCGGGACGGCGACGGCGGCCACGCGGCCACATAACCGCCAGACCGACGGTCAGGCCCAGACGACGGGCGGCGACTAGACGGCGACGTGGCGGCGACCGCGGCTATATTACCGCCAGACTGACCTTCAGGCTCAGTTCGCTAGAAAAGAAATAAGAGACCCGTTAAATGCAAGACTTGTCTGGGGAACAATACGCGAGTTCTCTACGTTGTCAGCCTCTAGGGAAGAAATAACAAATCGGGATGGAACGCCGGTCCCGGGGAGTGGGTCGAGGCCTCTGGGGACTCGCATTCAATAAATGAAAGCATCGGGTCTCATTGGATCGCTGTAGGGACTTGCAACAACCCACGATGTCGCAGCGAAGCAGTGCATCCCGCCCGGCGTGGCGGCGCAATGTGTCGTCGGGCCACGGGACCCTCACAGGTGGACCCGGCTAGAGAAACGCCGCAGGAAGATGCGGTCTACAATGCTGGTCATGCGTTAGCATGATGCTGCGATTTCATCACGACGTCCGGATTTCTGGGTCCTGAGCAACAAACAGGCCGACGTTTTCTCCTCAGTCTCCTCCTCTTCTGAGGGGCAACGGTCGGGGGGCTTACGGGGGGGAACGTCGACGTGACATCAGCGATACATGGCCGGTACATCGGCAATGTGCCCCAACTAGCAGATCCCCACGTTTCTGAGCGGGGTGGTGCTGTCAGGCTGCTATTGGCGATGAAAGGACGATTGGAGGTCGATGCGTTCCCCCCATTGCCTGTCCCCCTATCGATGCCTCTTATCCTTAGCCTCGACGAGGTCACGTTCTGCATCCTCCTTCGAGTGTTGCTAAAAAGTGCCCCATTGACCAAGGTGCCGTCAGCTTTTCGCACAACGTTGAAGCCCCTGGGGCCCTCTGGGCCTCGTGAGGGGGTGCTCTGAAGCCGTGGGGGCCTCCTTGAACGTCAGGGGGCACCTTGGGGGGCTATGGGCACTTCTAGCAACACCCGAGTGGGAAAGGGATCAGGACATCCGAGCCTACGGGCCCTGCGTGGAACCATCACGACGTCGGGATCGAAACATGCGAAAGGATCGGATCAGGATCGGAGGGGTGCTCTGGCAGCCATGGGGGCCTCCGTAGAAATCCGGGAGGCACCTTTGGCCAGGAGCACTCCTGCCAAGACCCAACTCCTACTCCTCTGCGTGCTCCTCCGCCAGCAGGCGCGATTGCGTCCATCCGTCGGACCCTTTTGGCCAGCTGCCGGGAGGGAGCCCTCCTGTGCCCGCACATCCAGCGAAGGTCTTCCCTCCACAAGAGGCGCCCATATGGTTCCCAGAAACCCAATACGTGTTTGGGGAAGCTCAGGACGGAGGGCCTTTCGCCGTCTTCGGCCTCTGCGGGCCCTCGCAGGGGCCCTGGGACCGCCAAAAACACTGCCCAGGATGAGAAGACGGCCCCCGGGGAACGGGTCGTCGGGACTAGAGAATCGCGTGTGGGAAAGAGGAGGGCATCTCGCACGTCTGGGGCTGCCACTCGCTTATGGAGGGCCGTCGGAGGGCCGCACTCCTGCGCGGCGCTCTGCGGCGAGTCGCGCTCGGGCCCGCGCTTGCCGCGCCCTGCGCCGCGGCAGTGCCAGTCCCGCTGCTGCTCCCACGAGTGGGCGAACTTGCACGCGTCGCCCTGCCTTTCGCAACCGAAGGTGCAATAAAAGATTGTCCCATGAAGAACGCCTGTGCCACGAGGGCTGGTAGATTCATGACTGTGTCGTTAAGCCCTGGGGGGTGCGAACTTCCCAGCCGTCCTGGGACAAACGACGCTAACTGCGAAAAACTGAATCTTTGACTTTGTGCCATACTGGCCCCCCGGAAGTGCACGGTTTCCCCTGGGGGCGTAGGCGACCCGAGGAGGAGGAGGAGGAGGAGGAGGAGGAGGAGGAGGAACCGGAGGAGGTGGAGGAGGGGGAGGGGGAGGAGGAGATGGAGGAGATGAGGGAGGAGGAGGAGGAGGAGGAGGAGGAGGAGGAGGAGGAGCAGGAGGAGCAGGAGGAGGGAGCAGTAGGAGGAGGTGAGGTGAGGCCACCCAGAAGCGGACGAGTCAATGCCCCCGCCGCCCTAGGCCAACCGCGGGGACCATCGCGGCCGGAGTCGGCGCGAGCTCGCACAGGAGGCTCATCGCGGCGAAACGCACAAGAGGCGACGCGCGCCACTAAAGGCAGCTGCGCCGCGAAGCGCGGCAGACGCGCGGAAAAGGCGAGAGACATACCCGACACGCGCGCCAGGGGACAGCAAGCAACGACGGAAAACCACTCTAAAAGCCCGTAGGCGAAAAGCGGGCCGCGCGCGCCACGTGCGCCAGGAGGCAGAAGCTAAGCCGGCAAACCGCTCTACAAGCCCGTTCTGACATTTCGAGGCCTCAGATACCGACGCGCCGCGCGCGCCGCCCCGATCAGCCACCCGAGGGGCACCACTCCCCCGGCGACAGCCCGCCCCCACGCACGCCACGGCGGGGGGCCGTGACCGTGGGAAGAATGGGCGGGGATCCTCCGATGAGCCCCCCCCCGCATGAAGACCCGCGACAGCACCCATGCCCAGCGGAGCACCGGGTGGGCCACGCAAGGGTATCGCAGCAAAACGTGGCAGACCCACAACCCAGGCGCAGAACACGGAAGGAAAAGCCGCGCAGTGAAGCCCTGGACTGCCCCCGCCCGCCACAAGGACGAGTCGGGCACAGCCCCGAGACCCCAGGCGCGACCCTTCCCCCGTGGCGCAGGCTGGGACGGCCTATGACTATCTTTTCTCTCCCCCAGGGTCCCGAAGGAGCACCTGAGGTGACGAACGGGAGGCTACCCGCCTGATTTCCTGGGGAGGGATCCCAGTGGCACAGGTGCCAGGAGGAAGAGGAGGAGAAGGAGGAGGAGGAGGAGGAGGGGTCGCCTAAACCCTTCGGAGAAACCCTCCACCCGGAAGTCCCGACCCGTTCCCCTATGGCCAGCTCCTCGTCCCCGGAGAAGTGTTCTGACGGGCCCGGGCCCCAGCGAAGGTCCCCGCAGAGGCTGACAGGGGCCAAACACCGTCCGTCTGGTTTCTGTTGCCCACGTCGCGACTGTGCGTCTGGGGCCGCAGTTTCTTCGTCCGCCGATGCCCGCACGCCCCGGTCTTCGCGAAGCTCCTGCACTGCTGCGTGTACGAGAAGTCCGGGGCCGTGCGCAGCTCGCCGCTGCCGTGCGCGAAGCCGCAGTCACTCCCCCGGGCGCAGTGGCCGCTCGCGTAGTAGTTGCACAGGCGCGTCTTGTGCAGGAAGCGGGCCTCGCCATGGGGGGGGGGGATGACCCCGAGGGCCCGGGGCCCTGTCGGGGGCCCCCAAGCGGTGCGGTGACCACACCGCGTGGTGTGCCAGTGGAGATGCGGAGTCGCCGCGCGATTTTGGGACTCGGGTCGCTCTCCGAAGACGTCTCGGGCGACCAGGGCCTCCGAGGCCCCAACACCGTGCGGTGACGGACTGCGCGGTGAGGTCTCTTGGCGATCCAAGGTCGCCACGCGGTCCGTCACCACACGGTTTTGGGATCCCCGAGCCTGGGCCCTGGGGCGCTCCTGAGGACCAGCTGCATCCCGAACCGTTTTCGAGGGCGCCGCGGCAAGGGGAGGAGCCTCCTGGATGGACCCAGAACGCGGCGAAGAGTTTCAGGTCTCCTTTCCCCAAAGGTCCGACATCACGAAGAGATTGCAACGCTGTGCAACATCACGACCGGAGGTACACTCCATCTTTCTGCGGCATCTCTCGAGCGAGATCGGTCTGCGCTGGTCCTGGGGCCAGAAGCCAGGCGAATACGCCTGACGTGAAAGGCTTGCAACGCCTGGACCTCAGGGGAAAAAATCGGGGCCCCCGTGCCTCATGTTGCTCCCCTCGTACGTAAGTAAGGACAACATTCCAGAAATAATCTCGGGCGCCCAGAAAGGTTCGAAACAGTGTCTGCCCGACACGCTGGCGAAAAGTCAAACGAAAATCGCATCCCAGGGCCCGACACGTGATAAGCCTACAGATTCGATACTTTCTGAGCGCACAGAATTATTTCTGGTGGCCAGGGCCAAAGTAGGTTGGAGCATCATAACATCAGGGCCCAATTTGCTCCCATGTTGTGGGCCGTCAAGGCAGCGTTGCCCTTGACGGAGCCAGCGGGCGTCATTCTGGTAATTAGCCAGGCGGGCCCGAGAGTGCCAGGCGGCGGGCGGCCTGGCTGCGTTTCGCCAGCGGCGGCGCGATTGCCAGAGCTGCGGCCACGGACAGCAGTCGGCCTGGCGACGCGCTCGGGCCCGATGACCCGCGGACCGCGCAGAGGCAGGCACGCTTCATGTCTGGAGAGATGCCCGGAGCGCGAGCGAGGTCGAGCGAGGTACTGCGCGCGATGCCCTGCTTGCGCGGGGTGCCTTCCTCGGCTCGTGGGGGAGGAGAAAGGGGGAATGTCTTTCAGCACACCACGGCACGTCCCACAAAACCTCCAGAACGCGGTGGCGCCGCCCGCTCCTGGCAGTCCGCGCTGCGCAGCGACGAAGAGTCGGGAAGAGCACGAGAGGCAGGCAGCGAACGCGCACGGCGAGATGGCGGGACGGGCAGACGGGAAGGGGCAGAGGAGGCGAAGGGGGGCGAGGAGAGGGACGACTGCGACGAGAAAGCGTGAAGTCCAGGCGCCGTAGCGTTAAGTCGGGCCTGTCCCTCTACAGGAGGGACGTTCAAAAATAGTCAACACATAGTCTGGGGACGATGTTTGGACTATTTCTGGCCGTTTTGGAATGTGTTTGGCTATGTTTCAGCTGTCGCCCAAAATCCGCCTGTAGGGGGTCATGCCCGACCTAACCGTAGCGGCAAGCTGTTCTGCAAACGGATCTCGCAATAAAGTTAGGTCGGGCATGTCCCCCTACAGGCGGATTTTGGACGAAAACTAAAAAATACTTCAAACATGCTCCGAAATTGTCAAAAAATACTGAAAACATCATCCCCAGACTATTTGTTGACTATTTTTGAATACTCCTCCTGTAGAGGGACAGGCCCGACTTAACAGTAGAGCGACGAGCGCTGCGTCATCCCGCATGTTACATTCTCGGGGGACCTTGCCTGTCCGACCGCGCCCGCTGGTCTGATCCGCGTCGGATCCACGTCGACCTCGTCGGATCCGTCTGGCATCTGCGTCGACTCCGCGGCGGACCTGCGTCGATGCCGCGTGCGATCTACGCCGCGTCCGTGCCGACAACGCGTCGGCTGTCAGAAAAAAAAAACGTAACTTACCATCCCCAGTTCTTTGGGCGATGTCGTCGTTGGGGCAGAAATAGCCGCCCTACTTTTCAAGCTCCTTCGATGTCGATTTCCGCCCTACTTCGCCGTCATTGTTCGGCCATGTCTTTGCGGAGATATCTGCCCTACTTTTCTGAGGCGGAAGTGTCTTCCCTTCTTTAGCCCCGCAAATTCCAACGCATCCTTTGTTGTGCACTTCCGACGCAAAGTAGAATAGGAGCATCTACACAAGTACGGCGGATCCGAAGTCAGGGGAGGGGGGCGAGGGGGATCACGAGGGGTCGGGGGACTGAGGATAGGACGATTGCAAGTGACCCACCGACCCTGGAACGGCATGCCAGCGTGGCCCGCTGGGCGCGGAAATTACAATCACACAACCACTGCTCCCCAAACAGCGCCTGCGCTACGGGGCTCCTACTTCCAAAGATTGGCAGGACACCATTTAGCAGAATACCCTTTAGTGAAAGCTGCCAGGTGCACTCCGGGTTCGCAGGGCACCGCACTCCGAGTGGACCCCAGCGGGGGAGCTAACCGATGTCCAAAAACAGCCGAGGGCATCCTGCGAAACGCACGTCGATTAGCGAAAACGAGTGGGGACTGCACCGAGACTGCACCGGCACACTGTCGAGTGGACCAGTGCAGACTTCGTCCGTCGACCCATCTGTTTGTCCGATACTTCTCCCCTGGGTCACTTGCTCGCGGCTCCGGGCTCTTGCCGGGGGGCAGCGGGCATCTCTCGAGCACCTCCTCCGCTGGCTGGCGGCTCCAAACTTTCGGTCGGTGGGCGCCCGTGGGCGCGCCGGCCAGCGCTTCAGGATGGATCCCTGGATCCCCAGGGCCATGGCGGGGGGAGGAGGAGGGCGGAGGAGGGCGAAGGAGGAGGAGGAGGAGGAGGAGGAGGAGGAGGGAGTTGGAGGAGGAGGAGGAGGAGGAGGAGGAGGAGGAGGAGGAGGAGTGCACCATGGTAGCCCTGGATCCCCAGGGGCCGCGGCGGTGACGGCACCCGCGGCGGCGGCGACGGCTCTGCGGCCCCGGCTGCTGTTTTTCCACCGGCGGGTCCCCAGACCTCCGATCGGTCGTGTTTTTTTTGTCCCAACGTCGACCCCCAAAGGCCTCCTCCTCCTCCTCCTCCTCCTCCTCCTCCTTCCTCCTTCCTCCCCCCCCCCCCCGTCGCCTCACTCCCCCCGGGACCGGTGTTTCATCCTGAGTCGTTTTTTTGACTGTCCCGAGGCCCCGCGTGAAAAGATCGAAAAGCCTCTCAGAGTGATATCGAAGAGGCTGAAAGCATCGAAAAGCCTCCCACCGTGATCGTTTCACGACGCGAGGGGGTCTGAATCTCTTGCGTTCCAGATCCGCGTTTGGTGGCCCCGGGGCCCGGGAAAGGGCCCTGCAGCCGAAATCGAGGAGGAAAGTTCACAACCGCACCGTCGGAGACCTGGGTCGATGGGGGCGGCGGCGACGGCGGCGGCGACGACTGCGACGACGACGCCGACGGCGGCGACGACGACGACGACGACGACGACGGCGACGACGACGTGACGATTACGACGACGACGACGACGACGACGACGACGACGACGGCGGCGGCGGTGGCAACGGCGGTGGCCGAGGCGGGGCGCACCAGGCGGCCGCCGGCGCCCGGGCCGCGACGACGACGACGACGGCGGCGACGACGACGCGGCGATTACGACGACGTCGGCGACGACGACGCGGCGACGACGGCGGCGACGACGGCGGCGTCGGCGACGACGACGGCAACGACGACGCGACGATTACGACGACGGCGACGGCGGCGGCGGTGGCGGCGGCGGCCGCGACTGCGGCGGAAGTGGCGGTGGCAGCGGCCACGGCGTCTCCAGAGCGCGCGCGCTGCGTCGCTGGCGGGGCCGAGCCCGCCGCGCAGCGGCCGTGGAGCGCGGGGGGTGGGCCGGGCTGCGCCGGGCTCCGCGGCGGCAGGGGGGCCCCTGGTCGGACGGCGCCTGGGCGACGAGAGCTGGCGCTGGGAGGAGAGCCAGGCATGCTGGTGGCGTGAACTCGAAGATTGACAGAACACCGTTTTCCAAGACGCCCTTCTCTGGGGAAAGCTGCCAGGTGCACTCCACGTTCCCACGGCACCGCACTCCGAATGGACCCCGGCGGGGCTAGGTAAAAAAACTGACCGAGTGCGTCCTACAAAACGCACGTCGATTTGCGAAAACGACTGGGGACTGCACCGGTACACGTCGGTCGGAAGAAGTAGGCAACAACATGAAGTAGGAAGGCGGATTAAGTGGATTGGGTCCAGGTCCCCCCAGGGAATAACAAAACACAGCAAAAGCGTGTCGATTCTTGAAGTAGGAAGGCGCTTGAAGAAGATTGGGATTTGGGAATCCAAAAATACCTACTTCCAACGACCGGCGTGTACACTTGTCTGCTGGGGCCTTTGATCAATGCCAGGTGAACCAGAACTCAGGACCCCCGAGACACAAAAACGGTACAGCTTTACAATTTTTGCACGCCCGGCGGTTTCGCAGAGATGCGGGCTCTGGGACCCTCACAGCCGGGTCTGGCTCGAAAGCTGCAGCAGACAGCTCGGGCCTGCGGGGCTCCGGCCGTGCTCTCGCGCGACGTCGGATCTCCGAGGGCGGAGGGTGCTTGGCCGAGGTCGGCCTCCAGGGGCCCTCGCCGAGCCACCCAGCCGACGAAACGCGGCACGGGATGAGGAGCCGTCCCTTCGTCGCCTGCGCCGCCGCCTCCTCCTCCTCCTCCTCCTCCTCCTCCGCCTCCTCCTCCGCCTCCTCCTCCTCCTGCTCCTCCTGTGCCTCCTCCTCCGCCTGCTCCTCCTCTTCCTCCTCCTCCGCGCCTCCTCCCTGTTTGCTGGAGGTGCCCATACCTCTGGAGGCCCACACGAGGCACAGGAAGGGCCTCCAAATCACCTCGGCCCTTCCTCGCCCCTCCTTCTCTTCCGACCCGTCATCCGCCCGATCCCACCTCCGCCCCCATCGTCCTCCAAACCCTCTTCCGATCCTCACCCCCGTCCACCTCTCGATGGTCCTCGTCGCCCTCGTCAGGAGCAAGGCCCGCGGTGACTGCCGTTGAATCAGCGCCCATCCGTCTGCATGGCTTCCCCCGGGGCCATAGGCGACCCGAGGAGGAGGAGGAGGAGGAGGAGGAGGAGGAGGAGGAGGAGGAGGAGGAGGAGGAGGAAGGAGTAGCAGGAGGAGGGGGGAGGTGGAGGGGGAGGGGGTGGAAGAGATGGAGGAGGAGGAGGAGGAGCAGGAGGAGGAGGCCAGAGAAGGAGGACGGGTCGCCTAAGCCCTTCGGAGAAACCCTCCACCGTCTTCCTCCATCCCTCCGCCCTGGCTTCTTCAAGGCCCGAGCACGAACAGCGGCCCCCGGACCCGCCGTCGGGCGCGCTGCGACCAAGCCTTCGAGGCGGATCTGGCCGCAGCGTCCGGGCGCATATCCTCGATCCTCGATCGATCGATCCTCGATCCTCGATCCTCGATCGATCCTCGATCCTCGATCCTCGCTCCTCAAACAACGTGAACTGATCCTCGATCCTCGAGCGACGAAGGCGGCGGCAACGACCACGACGAAGAGGGCGGCTCCTCTGGCCCAGACGCTGGACCTTCACGTTGTGTTTCGCTTTGTTTTCGTTATGCTGTTCATTCGGCTCTACCTGTTTTCCTGCACCTCCCTGCCAAAACGAAAGACAGGACACAACCGCAGTTTCACTTGAAAACTACAAGGAAACGGGTAAGCGGCTCCCAGGAGCCGCTTCACTTGAAACAGTAAAAGGGAAGCGGCTCCTGGGCGGCCATTACAGCCCATCCTTGCGCGCCTCGCCCCTCCCCTGGACCCCTCCCTAAGGGCTTCGCCCCGCACAAGAACCTCATCACTCGTACCTCGCTCTTTCCGTTACCTGCTTGGCATAGGGACGGAAAGCGCGGGTTCTTTCTGTGAACGCGCGAGGTCGCTGGCTAGTGTCTTGGAGCTCTGCTGGGTCAAGGCTCTGCTTGTGCGAAATCTGTGGATATTGCATTTCTGGGCCTTCCTGGGGGTCCTTTTGGGGCACTTTTGGGCAGTCTTGGGGCTCTCCTGGGCCGTCTCGGGACCCTCTCGGGCCGTCTTGGCGGGCTTGGGCCGCATTGGGGCTCTCTGAGGGCGCTCTTGGGGACCTCCTGCGGCCTCCTGTGGCACTCTTGGAGCTCTCTTGGGAATCTTTCGGGGCCCCCTTGGGGCCCGTCTTGGGCTGTCTTGGAGCTCTCTTCGGCCGTCCTTTTGTTTAAGGCCTCAGGGCGCTCGCGCCACAGCACTTGCAGTCGATAGG